ACCAAAAAAATCTTTTTATATTTTAACAAGTGCTTTCAGTATACATCATTTCAGTTGATTAGCAAGTTCTGTAGGCATTGATTTGAAGTCACTTGAACACCTTGCTGATGAGTTCATTTGTCAATAGAGTAGTTCTTTCCTGAACTAAGGTAATCAATGAAATTTACCAATGCATGTCACTAGGGTAGGACATTCTGTGCTATGCAGCACAACCATATGAATAGTTAAAAATAAAAGGAAATGTGTGGCAATAAAGAATAAAAATCAATATAATAATTGATCTTCTGTCTTAGTGCTGTATTGCCTAATGTGCAGTTATTTAAAATTATTTAAATGATTGAATTATTCCCTTTATATCAAGAAGCATAAATATTCAGCTTAGGCACAAATGCCTGTAGAATGACAGAGAAAAGCATGTAAGAGTAAGAGTTATGTACAGAAATACTAATAAAATAATATTTTATGTGTGACTGACATTATTGTAATTTATTATATAAAAAGCAGTACCTGAATACACATCCTTGTAAAAATGAGTCCACTGGGACAATATCTCCAGGCTATCTGAGTGCTTACATTGACAACCTCTATATAGATGAAATATATAGTATTACATGTGTTTTCTGTAAATCATAAGTTGGTAATGTATAAGTCTGGATATAGCTATTCAGACCTTCCTTTTTAAAAATCTCCCTGCCTCAATTCTCTAAATTTTCTATGATTTGATGGACAAGAACAGTAACTCATTATATCTACAGGGTCAAAATTACCTAAAGAATTTTGGAAAGTTTTAGCATTACAGATAAAATGACTAGCACATTTTCTAAGTTATTTATATGTAGAATTATCTTCCTCAAAATGTTGTATGTGCTCTACTAGAGTTCAGTAGGTAGCCACTTACTGCCCTTCCTCCCTCCCTCCCTCCCTCCCTCCCTCCCTCCCTCCCTCCCTCCCTCCCTTCCTTCCTTTCTTCCTTCCTTCCTGTGCTGAGAACAATATATCATGTGCTTCTTGTGATTCAGTATGGTCCCTGAGCCATTTTATTAGTGCAATACATGGGTTCTCTATGTAAAACAAAGACTAAGTTCTTAGTTTTTTTAAGTTCTTAGTTTTAAGAAGGCAGAATTAATGAATGAGCAGCTATTAGCCTGTCCACATCATCCATCCCTGGGAAATAAATTTGTTGCTTAGCAGGATACTTTGGATACTACAATGTTGATAATGAGATACAACTCAGCTCATAAAGACTCCTTAGAATGAGAGAAGTGCCTTCTCCCTGGGCTATAGTTCTTTTTCAAGATGTTTGGTGAAAAATATTAGTGAGGAAATGAAGAGCATCCCTATAGTGTATGTTGCAGAATAAGGGGTTTCTGAAGGATGGATAATCTGAAAATGACCATTCAGCAAGATGGGTATGATGGTGGCACACACTTATAATTACAGCATTTTGATGGCAGAAGCAGAGAGATCACTTGATTGATGCTAGACTGGGCTGTGTAGCAAGAGTCTATCTCAAAGAATAAGAAGGATAAATCAATCATCCTAGGCTACACGTAGAGACAGGAGTGGCAAAAAGGAAGGAAAAGGGAAGGAGAGAGAGAATTGAATGGAATATAAACATGCTTGTGATGCCCCTGTCTTTAGTTCCCAGAGTGGTATATCATCAAGCTCCAAGAATCACAAAAGATTCATAGCTATGCAATGGTAGAAGGTCCTCACCTGTTTCACTATGTCTCCTCAGTACATCAGAGTCTTCTGTTAACACTTTCTTCTAGACAGGGGCATTATTTTCACCTTAGAACTATTCCGGATACAGAGAAAGAATCACTGTGCAATTTCTTATCCTCATTGCAGTAACTGCATATGTTTGACACTGGGGCCTGACAACTACTCAGTAAATCCATAATCAATCTTGCCATTTAACTCAACCCACCTGAACCTTTTATAAAGCACTCACAAATGATGTGCGTGGTGTTTACTTAGTATACTGAAGTTCTGAGCACAGCCATCGATGTTGAATGTTCTATGTCACTGACATAGAAAGGGCAGGAATTATTGTCTTCATTTTCAAAATTAGCAAACTTGGACTTATGAGTTTTACTCTCTTGCTAGTACCATAAATAGCAAATCCAGAACCACAACTCAGCTTATTAACATTTCCAGTACCCCTCTCTTCTACTACCAGGTAGGTCTAACCTATGGCCCACAGACTGCAGGTACTCCAAGGTGACTATTCATTTTGCCAATCAATTTAAATTAGCTTAATGCATGTTTTAAAACTGAAATCTAGCTGTGACTTTCTTAATGCTTGATGAATTACACTATGTCATGTCCTTTTAATTTAACTTTTGCATCATGTATCACATTCTGCCTCAAATATCTGGAATATGAGATTGTCTTCTTACATTTGCTCATTTCAAAGGAGGAAATTTTTTCCTTATAAATTTTGTAGAGTAATTCCTTTATGCCTTAAAGGCAAATATAATTTGCATCCAAAAATCTGCTTAGATTTTTCTTCCACATCTCCTTAGTATTACAACCCCACATAGCATGCCCATAACAAAGTCAAATTATGGCAAAGGTGGAGAATATAAATTATAAGCCATAGGGTTACATCTGACGTCAGTTCCCTGTCACCATTTAGTTTAGAAATTCCCCATGTTGATCACACAGGATGACATGAGCTTATTTAGATATAACTGTGAAACACTGAAATTGCTAAAAGTTCATTTCTAAAGGAAAACAGAACCTCTAAGCATAGACATTTCCAACTGATAGCCAAGCAATCTAGAAAAGATAATTCGAATGAAGTTATAGTCTTACACTAGCTGTATACAATGGCATCATGTGTTTCAAAGAACCTGGCCTGTAACAGGATAAGGCTCTGATCAGAGAAAGCTAACTGGGTATAATTGACAATTGTAAAATAAGAAAGAGAAGACATTTTCAAAAAATCTGTCTCTGAACCAAAGCTGGGTTTAGCAATGTCACTTTGATTTCTTCCTTCTATGATTTCTGCCAGTGCCATGCTTACTTATCACATCAAGCAAGAGGAACTACTGGAACAGTGCCTACTACATGGGGGTAACTTACAGTTTCCAGAACTTACTTGTTTGCATTTATTTGTAAAAATTGAATTGATATGACTTCCACAGTGATTTATTTTCAGCTAACTACGATACTGTATTTCTAACCAGATAGACTCGAGAGGGGAAAACTGGAGAAAGTGGGAGGAAGGCAGAAGGAGATATGACAGAGTTAGAGGAAAGGGGAAAATAGCAAGGACAAGAGAGAGAGTGGGGAGGGAGAGAGAAAGTACAAAGGAGGGAGGGGACTGGAGGAATTTAGAGCAAAGGGGAGTGTGCATGCCTATGTGGACCAAGTGTTAGTACCACAGGAAAGGTCAGTGGCCAGCCTTGCACTTCTTGTCAGTATCTTTCTCTTCCTTTGTCTATCTGACCTGGAAGAATCCATGGTGGACAGTGTTAAGACCTTTTATCTACACGGATTGCATAGGAATGGTCTCACATGCCCTAGATGTACATGAGAGGTGATTTGGAGAAGCCAGACACACAGTTCTTCTTTTCTCATTTTTACCTGTTGCCTCATTTCCAGTTAGTCTTCTTTTTCTAGAACTTGTCAAAATTCAAATTCAAGCACAGGTCACCACCCTAATAAAGCAAAGTAAGTGCCCAATATTAACAGGGGTTTATCTACTGACAGATCCTGAGACTTAATAAGGATGAATAGCTTAGATTTCCAACACTAATGTTTGAGAGTTGGGAAATGTATGTGGTTATTAAATGCATGGATTTGACATAGCAGGGTTCAACATAATGAGTCTCACTGATGATTAGCTACAATGTCAAGTACAGTGTGAGAGTGGCACTGTTGAAAATGATTGTCTCAGTATTCTGGTTTACAGCACTGTTCTTCAGCCTTAGACTCTACCCACTTGAAGATTCACAGAAAGGTCCTCTAATGGTGTCTGAACAAGCCTGAAGGTGGTCAGACTGCTGCTTCATTGCTCTCCATATTAAATGTTATTCTGATAGCCTGAGAAAATCTAGTAGAATGCAACTTTGGTTGTGATTACATAATTATGCTACAGATATATGAAGAAAATCATCACTCAAGCCCTCCAGGTGCTTAAACAGTTTGATAGACTGTAGCCATTCTGCCATCAGCACCCCCAGCTGTGTTGCTTAGCAACATTTTAATTCCAGAACAATCGAAGGAGATGAAATCCCCGTGGAGAGGGAAACAGAAATAAGAGGGCTGTTGACAGATGATCTGAGTTGTTTCTTCTAATATACTGTGAAGATCACTAGCTCTTTTCATGAATGATAAATGGACTGTACACAGATCAATGTGTTCAGCAATAAACTGGAACCAGTCTCCATGCCTAAGGTGACTCAGGCCATGAGGCCCAGAAATTTCCTCATTTTGAGAATTATGTGTGTATTTTTCTAAAGGTTTCAGGGGAGGAAATTGATTTTAGTATTTGGACATTCCTTATCCTTTTGTAATCTCTGTACTAAAAGTAATTTTGGAAATGAACACATTTTGCCCTGTGATAGTGCAGGTGTGTTTAAGTGTTGGGAAGAAATTTAAGGTTAATGATCTACGTCCATAGCGCCTCCATGTTTTGCAGCCCCCTCTCATGTGGTCATTTTAATCCCGTCATTGGGTAAAGTTAGAGTAAAAGGTAGGGAAGAGAGGATCTGCTTGTGTACCCAAGAGCCCACTTTCATGGCTCCTGCTGAACTTTGCCAGGTGTTCTGACAATGCCTGTCTGTGTTTGAGCACTTGAACAAGTAAATACATTCCCTGGGAAAGAAAAATATTTTCTATGTCACTGCTTATCCATGGGAACTTGTTTCAGTTCACTCCTAATGTTTCTAAAAAGCATTTGCTATCTTCCTACTGCCTGGTGTTTTGGTTAATAGTTGCAAAGATTATGCCTGTTAATATCGCCTAATTGCATTTTTCTCTGTTCGCAGGCTGTTGAAAAGGCAAAACCCAAGAATAATCCTGTAAAGTAAGTTAGTTTTGCAAGTTTAAGATGTTAATTTTAATGAACTCTGTGCATGGGGGAAATTAAGGTCATAAAAGAATTGTATTTTGCATTAATCTCTATTCATAACAATTTAAAGACAAAAACAAAACACAGGGGAAAAACAATCTCCAATGAACAAGGAACAGCTTATATTTTTTTTCTGTGTCCCTGATGAGGAAATGCCCCAAGTTTGCACAGTTTACATAAATTAATATGTGCCATCATGAATAGCATAGCTGCCAAATACTATTATAATCATATTCAATGTGTACTACTTCAGGCCTTTGGGTTTTTTCTCATGCTAGAAAAATTACATTTTTAATTGCAAATCCTGGACCTATGACAGAGACATAAACGCCTAAATAAGTGCCAAGTGATCTCTAGTCATGTGGGGAGGTTTTCACCTTGGCATCAAGGTTTCAGTATTCTGTTAATGAAAAGCTCATAAAACTGCATTTAATTGAATGGGGGCTGCTAACAAAGACCAGTTACTAAGCCAGTTACATGCCATTGTAAGGCATGACAATTGTAAAAGAGGCATACAGTGCTATTTTAAATATAGTGCATGTTAGGCATCCTGTCTTTTCTAGGAGAGAGATTTTTAAATGGAAAGGAATTGTCTTGTCATTTGGGTTTGTGACATCTAATTGCAATGTTATTATGCATACCATTGTTCCCAGTGACATGGCCGAAGAAGGACTGGCTTTACTTACTGGGTTATTATAGGTCTTGGAATATCATGTTTGTACAAAGTATGTGTTAATTTATGCCAAAAAACTGACTTTATAGCTAGTACAAAATACAGAAATGGGAAGTACATTTATTTTTTATAGTTCCTGAAGAAAGGGTCAGCTATGTCAAGAATAAGAAAGTTGTTTATTTAGTGTGAGAGAACTAACTTTTCCATAACATATAGATGGTGTTTAGCATACCAGTAAATTTAAAGTCTGATATATTTTCCAAAGGTACTGTATACTGTGCTTTCATGTTTTATTTTTCTTAGCTAACAGAATCTTCTCTATCCATAAACCTTGCAGGACCCTCACAGTTTGGAAGTGTATTATGTTGTATTCATCCTCTGGAAGCCAGTTTAGTAGCTGAGTTTTTAATCTTTCCTGTTTGAGGTTAGAATCTTCTCTGAACCCTGGCTTCTTTTCCATTTATTTACTTTGACAGCTCTTATACGCTGAGCATCTGTCTGGACAGTTCCACAGATTAGAATATGATGCTAAAGAGGGCAGAACCAAGGCTTAATCCCTGGGTAGTCCATTACTGATGTTCTTTCTGACAATCATATACACCCTTCCCTGCTGTATGGTTGCATACACATGTGTGCTTCAGGTCATAAGGACTAGAACAGTAAAAAATCTAGCTCTCAGTGTTGCAAGTTGCTCCAAGTAGAAGTTCTTCCTACAGGTAATTAGTTCAAGCTTCATCATTGCATGTACAGAACAGCACTTGTCTCCATGTCAGGCTGGCTGCATTATATTATAATCTTATAACCTGATGGGGCCAACTTTTGTCTGGCCATTGTAAAAATATGGTTCTTTTTAAAGATATATGGCCCCTCTCCTTTATTTTTTAACAATTTATTATATATACAGTGTTCTGTCTGCATGTGTGCTTTCATTCCAGAAGAGGACACCAGATTTCATTATAGATGGTTGTGAGTCACCATGTGGTTGGTTGCTGGGACTTGAACCAAGGTCCTCTGGAATAATAGCGAATGCTCTTAACCACTGAATCATCTCTCCAGCCCAATTTGGTTCTTCTTGTAATTATACATTTTGTGAATTCTTATTAATTCACAATGCAGATTCCATCTAATATCTGGCTTTTCAAACTGTGTTTAAAAGAAGATAAAAAAACTTGGAAGGGCCAAAATACTTTGAATCTTCTTACTCTTAACTATATTTTAAAAATATACTCAGCATTAAAGATAAGTTAAAGTGCTAAGTATCTGTAAATATCATCTCACTAAATAACTTAGCATTAGTTTAGCGTGCCTTGTTGTACTTGGAATCATGATATAATATACAGCTGAAAGCTACAGCTATATGGTAATTCCAGAAGAAGGTCATCTTCGGAAGCACAGTTCCAGGGCAGAAATTCTACATTATTTATTCACTGTCTGGCAGAACAACAAAAGTTTTTAAAAATTTGATATACAGTGTATCTCTTGTCATTTCTGATTCCTGTCAATGAATTTGGGTTGCACACAGTACACTGCAATCCTGAGTAGAGTAAAAATGAGCTACATTTTCTTAATGAATGAGTAGATTTGACATAATTAAAAAAAATGGTCTTTCTGGAAAGCTTACATGGAGGCTTAAAAAGGATATTTGCTCTGGTCTAGTAGGTTGCCACCATTGGGTTATAGGAACTGGTATGTGGTAACTGTATGCTTATCTACTCTCTGTTACTCTTATTTATGACATGTATAAAAATGTTTCCACATTGTTCTCCTCTCTAGCTGCTCTTCCTCTTAGTACTTTTCTTTGGGTCTCTAGCTAGGATGAGTATTTGGCTGTATTTTTGGAAAATGAATTAGAAAGTTTATATGCATTCTTAATGGAAAGTTGAGGTCTGGTGTCATCAGTTATGACTGAAGTATAAACACAGAGTTGTGAAGGTGATTATTTGATGAGATATTGATATAATTCTTTTGCATGTAATTTGGTAAATGCTCAGAAAAATGTATATTTCATGACATGTGAAAATTAACATGGATTTCCAATGTCAGTATCTACACATGAAATTGTAATTGGAATATAGATGCATTCCTTCATTTGCATATTATGAATAGTTACTGCAAAGACTACAACACATGCTTACAATGTAATTCTGTATAGTAAAAGTTCACTATATCCTTATCTAATTGGCCAGGTAGGAAAAAAACAGAACTACATTTCATGACACTAAGGTTAAACTATCAAGCCTTTTACTTTGGAGGATGTTAAAACAGTGAGTAGACATTTACTGAGCAATTATTGGGTGCTCAGGATTTATTGGGACTGTTATATCACCTGGTTGTTATTACAAACAAAGCCACTCACTGTTCACTCACTGTGTTTGAGTATATGATGAGTACACAATCCATAATAGGGCCATGATATCTAAAAAAAATACTGAAAATTTGCCTACAACATACTGCTACTCTTTCACATTTCAAAAATCATATGAGTTTCTGAAGCTATGTTACCTTTAGATTCAGCTAAAGCTACCTAAATGATTGTTAGGGTGGTAATAGGTCCACTAACTTTGCTCAATTTCCTCTTTATAAGCTCACCCCCTATAAGTTTTTCATCCATTCAGTCAATTTATTTTCAATACCTTTCTGGGTGTAAGTTCCTTTCATCACTATGGTAAACATTAGCAGATATTCCATATAAAAGGAATAAATATGTACATGTCTAAGGAATGTAAACATATAATATTCCCATATATACTAATGATCTTACCTTGACCATTGAATATTAATTCTAGGGTAAGACTCAAAGTGCAATTTCTTATCGTCATTGCAGTAACTGCATATGTTTGACACTGGGACCTGACAACTACTCAGTAAATCCATAATCAATCTTGCCATTTAACTCAACCCACCTGCACCTTTTATAAAGCACTCACAAATGATGTGCGTGGTGTTTACTTAGAGTTTACTTGGAGTTACTTACTGTTTTTAAGATCAGTAATCATGACAAGAGATACATGGTTATATCTCTCTATATAATGGTACCATAGTAACAAGAAAGCTTGATAGGTATAATAAAACTAGAGCTTTGTAATGTGTTTGGGTAAGAGACTTTCGCTTGTATATTAAGTGCAGCAGAAATCATCCCCAAGATTATCATCGTAATAGCGAGAGACATACAGATTTCTCCCACCGTATGTGACTTATCACATACAGTTTTGAAAAAAGAATATCTACATTTCTGTTATTTAGATATATATGGTAGTGTACTTCTGAATATAAGAACTGTTCTTGGCTAAAATCCATGAACTTATAAGTTGACTTGAATCTAACTGAGGTTGACATCTGTTGAAAGAGGAAAAAAGAGGAAAGCATAAAATTCTCTCCTGCATTTATTTACACTTTAACAGTATTCAAGAACACTATAGTTGTCTTTAAAAAATTAGAATCAACAGGATGCTGAAATTAGAGTTTTATTTTGAAACTGATCTAGATATAGTGGTTTCATTACTGAAAATGACAAATGGCCAGAAAGATTTTTCTAACCATTGTTTGTATATTTTTCATTAATTTGTTCAATGGATATTTCTTTAGGACCAACAGAGTTACAGGAAGTGTAGCAGATGCTGTGATATCTAAAAGTAAATCTGATACAACTCTTACCCTTGAGGAGTAGAGCATCCAGTAGCAGTGATAAAAATCCTTTTGTGAAGAACAAAATAAATGGGTGAGAAAGGGCCATGGACATCTCTGCTATGCAAGAAGTGATAAAGCAAGGAAGAAGTTCTCAGAAAAGGTAGTACTATTATAGTTAGGGGTGGAAATGATGAAGCAGAAACATTTGCACAAAGAGTGTAAGTGCTACTAGTTTAATATACTAGCCTGAGGTGTGGCAGGAAGTAGAAGAAGTTCTCGCTGACTGGTGGTGTATAGGCAATGAAGGGCCAAGTTGAAAACTGAAGTGAAAGATATTACTTTTGTAGAGTCAAATAACACTGAAGAGCTCTTATCTTGTAATGAGCATGAACTATCAATTAGTACTTTAGTCATTTAGACACTAACAAACTGTTAATATACCAGGTTCAAGTCCTGAGGCTGACATCAGCTTCATATATGAAATTCAATTTATTCCTTCTTTGCTCCAGATCTCAGCAAGGTTATTTATATGGCCCTTCATATCTTAATAAAAGCAGAAGCTTAAAAACTTGTTTCATAAGTATGCTCATTCTAGATTATCTTTAACCCAGTATGAAGTAGCATGCACAAATGCTACAACACCCCCCCACATAAA